CATATCCTTACTCTTGTATTTCACCAATCCCGTTTAGTAAAGCATACTAAAGAGTGTATTACCATATTCGGTCATAATGTAGTTATTGTTCACATACGTATCATACAAGATTCATAAAAGGACATAATCTCTTTAAGAAAACACGCATATATAACGCATGGTCATGATAACTTTATAGCTGTACTTCACGAGAAGTGACCAATCTTACGTTAATCAAGTAGCGCCTGCCTTAAAACAATACGTATGCTGATTACAGTCTTTAATGTCTATTATGACTTATGAGAGTGCATGAAATGAGACATTCATGAAAGTTTGTTAATGATAACTTATTGGTGATATTTTATTCATCAAATTACTGTATTACATGTCATCTCAGTACTTTAAATAAGTTAATTCAAAAGGTGAAACCTGATGTGGATGTTTATCTAAAAATAATATAATCTCACGTGACACATAGTGCTTGCAAGCTTTAGAGGGTATTAAGCACTCTAATATCAAATATAATCATTCGTTGCATATGAATACACGGCTTTTTGAACACTACTAAAAATACATGACATTCACAAATGATAAGGAGTAGCATTAATTAACAAAGTGCACAAATATTAGCGCATCTCCATTCATCATACTCAATTTTACGGTTTTTTATGACTTATTATTGACATGACACTTCCACATAAGAAAATTTCAAACAATCTCCAAACCTATCAATTTCTCCTCATCCATGATCTTAATTTACTTAGGTTTTTATGAGACATGCACTCAATTTCAAAATCTCTAACTTAAATACACTCACACGCTTCACATGCACTCCATATGGACACAAAATACTTAGTATATACATTTAGTACGTACACCATTATATATATAAAAAAATTATACCCTTCAAAAAAATTGAACGTCATTATATATGTACATTGTATACCTTTTAGGTTGAACATTTAGTATCTTGTCTGTAAAATATTTTGTTGGGAATATTTTGTGGTGTTCAATCTATTTAAATATCTTTGTATTTGAGTATTAATTATTTGTATTAAATAGGCTAGAAAATGATATGGGGCCAAAGTTGTCAGGCCCATATTCCTGGCATAAAGCCTTTACGCAAACCTGCATGCGCATATAAATAGGCGCATAAGGCTTAGTTTTGCGTTAACTATTATTCGACCTTTAAGCTTTAGCGGTCATATCATTGTAAAGGTTTCCACGGTATACCAGAGAGGGTTTCAACGATCATAATATTGCCATATTATTCTGTGATTCTCTCTTTGTTATATTGTTATATTGCTGTTAGAGTAGATTAATCTCTAAACAGGGACCAACATAATTTACACTATTAAGTTAAAAAGAATTATTTTATATACAATTATTAGGTACACTTTTTATATACATTTAGTACCTCGTATATAATTTTTTTTATGGATAGTGCTATGATAAAAAAACAAACGGATAGTGCTTTTAATTATAAACGGATAGTACTTTTAATTACAGTATCTACAATTCGTAGTGCATGCAGTTTAAAAAATTTTGTCGTTTGGAGTAATCCTAGTCATCACCTTAATTATGAGTATGCCTAGAAAATGAGAAGAGGAGCATAAAAGTTGGAAATAATCTTCAAATGATCTAGATTTAGAATTTGATACCAATTTTTTTTATCAAATAATCTCTTCAAATAATCCTAACATCTCATCCATAATCTCAAAAATTATTATCCACATCATCAAAATAATCTCTAAATAATCCTATGGATGGGATGCCCTTATGAAGGCAAAATTTAGAGTTGCATTCCACCATAAATGAGATCACACATTTGTATTGAGATTCATATTAAAATAAAGGGAGATATCAATGAAGATACATAAAAAAATTAATTAATTCAAGTACACTCAATTTCTCCAAAGGTATAAGGTAATAGTAATTAAAAAGCCCATTAACATTGAGGATGATATCATTCGTTTTCCATCATGCTAAATTAGTATGAAAGCTTATGTTGAAGTTAATTTAATTTGGTATTTCATGTATTTTAAGCAATAAATATCTAAAAAATTGCTATTAATGTTTCACTCCACTTCACAAAAAAAAACACTTCGTAGGATACTACTGTAACACGCAAGCCATACTATATTTATTTTTCATTTACTTTTTGAAAGCAAACCTCTTTTTATTAGTTAAATTATGGTCCAACCCAACCACACTATATGAAGTAGAAAACAACCTCTCATGCTTTTAATTTATTTAATATTACTACGTAGTATTATATGTATGATTTATTTAAAGTAAAACCAGGACAACATAAAAAGGGACAAAATTCTAATGGACAATGGAGGGGGGTAATGTACGATGTATATACCATATATATTATGTTAAAGTAAGTGTAATTTAAAAGATAGATTTAAAATAAAATATAATGATAGAAGAGACAAACAATGGAGTATAATCAAATCCACCTCATCACATTTTCTGACACAAACTAATTGTGAAATAAAAATCATTAAAAGAAGCTCAATAATTATTATTAAAATGAGTACAACGATAATTATAATGTAATAATTAATACATATATTCATTTATGTTAGATTAATATGAGCGTTAGAGGTTAAGTCTTTAAGGTAAAGATCGGGATGAACCTCTACGCCCACTAGTTTTTTATATTTGTTCTAGTCAATATATCATGATTTACTCTTCTTAAACTTAATTATCCATATACGTTATGTAACATAAGAGCGTTAAGTAACTTTTGCAAAAAGTTTTCGAGGGCGAATATTGACTCTCTCAATTTAGATTTCATAACTCTGACGAGCTTGCGGCATTTATAGCTAGTATCTAGAAATAAAATAATTTAACATTGGTTTATTCCGCCATCCCAGCCAGTGAATATTTAAGATTTTTTTATTTAATCTTGAATTGTGTAGAATCTTTTGTATTCATAAGTTCCGGACACTAGAAGAGTGATTCACGTTTTACTCTCCTTAGAACTAAATCCATACAACTATGATGCATAACATCTATAAGTTTACATAGTCGAAAGTTGCAATATAGATCATTCTAAAGAAGAACAAATATACAAAGTATGGATGATAGAAATATACCCGATCTTGTATGATACATGTGATATCTTGATATTCAATGGGGGTTCTTTAGATGAATGTGAGGCGTAACGGGACTTGTAGCGAAAACGCACGATCTCACTACTTTAACCGGAGTCAGCAATATAATAGTGATACCGTACTCATAAAAATTGACAAATAGCTTAAATTGAACTCTAGTTAACCTTTAGGTGAATCCCAACACCTTGATCATTTTATCACATATTATATTCATAAATCAACCAAAAATCCCTACAATTTAAATAAGTTTTCTACTTTAATTCTCAAAATCCAAAATTTATAAAACAATGTTTCCCTGTGGATCAAACCGGTATATTATCGATATTCATTACTACAATCGACATTTATATACTTGCAAGTTAAGCCCAATCACCTTGAGTGAGAAAGTGATGAAAGAAGTTCGTTAAAAGTTAAAGCGATGAGTATTTAGTTTAGCATCATGTTACCCATCATCTTAAGCGGAGTTTATTCCTATTTGTTTAAGTGTGTTCCATTGTGATTTGATCTAGCTTGTTTTTTTACTCAGGGGGGTCTGGGGGAGGGGTGCTAGGGGGGTCTGGAGTAATCATGGTTGAAACTCACTCCATTGAGTTTCAAACCCTTATGTGCCTAGCGGGTTTTGAACTCGAGACCTCCCACTAGGCATGATAACCTCACAACCAGCTGGGCTGGAATGCTTGTATTATTTCATATGATCTTTCATTGAAATAAGGGTAAGATCCCTAATCTTATATTGTACCAACCCCGTTTAGTAAACCATGCTAAAGAGTGCATTGACATATTCAGTCATTTAAGATATAAATGTAGATATTGTTTGCATACTTATCATGCACGATTCATAAAAGGACACAATCTCTTTAAGAAAAGACGCGTATACGACGCAGGCTCAAGATAACTTTACAGCTGTACTTCACGAAATGTGATCAACGTTACGTTAATTGAGTAGCGTTTTGCTTAAAATAATATGTATGCTGATTACCAGTCTTTAACGCCTATTCTGAGAGTGTGAAGTGTGAGATTCATGGAAGTTTGTTAATGATAATTTATCGGTTGCATTTAAGTCATTGAATTACTGTATTACATGCCATCTTTGTATTTCAATTAAGTTAAGTCAAAAGGTGAAAGCTGGCGAGGATGTTTATCTAAAAGTAATGTAATCTCACGTGACTCATAGTGTTTGTAAACGTTACAGTATTAAGAACTCTAATATCGACTCATAGATATGATCATTTGATGTATATAGATAAGCGACTTTTTGAACATTACTAAAAAAATGCATACCACACATAAATGACAACATTAACCAAGTGCACAAATATTATGAAGGCTCAACATAATTTAGAGTTGCAATCCACCATAAATAAGATCACACATTTCTATTGAGGTTCACATTAAAATAGAGGGGATAATAATGAAGTTACATAAAGAATTAATTCAAAACATTAATTTTTCCTATATGTATAAGGTAATAGTAATTAAAAAAAGCCCGTTAATTAGTATGAAAGTTTATGTTGAAGTTCATTTAAATATAAATTGATTTGGTATTTCACGTATTTGAAGTAAATTTTTCAGCAGAAATATAAAAAATTGCTATTAATGCTTCACTCTACTTCACAAAAAACAATCCATACGATACTAGTGTAACACGCCAACCATACCATATTTATTTTTCATTTACTTTTTGAAAACAAACCTCTCATGTTTTTTATTTATTTAATATCACTACATAGTACTTTATCTTTATGTATGATTTATTGTTAAGTAAAATTAGGACATCATAAAAAAGGACAAAAATTGTAATGGACAAGGCAGGGTAATATACGGAGTATATACCATATATATTATGTTAAAGTTAAGTGTAATTAAGGTTCTTACTTATTCGTTATCCGGGTTTAATTGATTTTAAGTCCAATCCAGCCACGCTATAAATATACCACCTAAATATTTGCTCCAATCCAAACCAAACACGCCGGCCATTCTCAGCGACCACCGCGACCCGCTACTCTCTCTCTTCTGCCATCTCATCAATCCTCTCTCTGACGTTCATTGATATTGGCGGCGATGGGAGCGGCCACAATACTTCCAGATCTCGGCACCAATATCCTGATCCCGGCCTGCGCCGTTGTCGGCATCGTCTTTGCCATCGTTCAATGGGTCATCGTCTCCAAGGTCAAGCTCACCCCGGAGAAGCCCGGCCACGGACCCGCCGACGGGAAGAACGGATTCGCAGACTCTCTCATTGAGGAGGAAGAGGGCATCAATGACCACGGCGTTGTTCAGAAGTGCGCTGAAATTCAGCTCGCCATCTCCGAAGGTATAAGCTTCAAACATCTTAAGTGCAGTATCTGGATTTGTGTACGTTTTTGGTCGATTCGTGATTTCTCAAGCTGGAACTATGCTGCATTTTTTCCCAGATTGGAAGTTTTAGATGCGTTTTGGTCGGATTGAAACTTGTTTGAGTGCTTGTTTGAGCTGTCTGTACTTTCGTGTGGCTTTCAACTTCATGTATACTTCACTCCCTTTTAGGTGGTTAGAGCGGTAAAGTTTGAACATTGTGATTTTTCTTAATTTACTCAGTTTATTACTTTTTAAAGCATTTTAGTGATTTCAAAACGTTCCAGAATGAAAAAAAAACAGAAATTTTGATTTAAATAATAAAGATCTGGCTTTTTCTTGTTGTAGTTGGTTTCTTCTTTGGCTGAATGTTAATTATGTCAACAACTTCCTTTTCTTGTACGGTTACTCGATCTGCAGACTTGTACGGTGGTTTTTGGCTTTATTTACCCAGAGGTTCGTAATAACCCCAGTAACCAGTTTACAGTAAAAATAAACAACTCTAATAAAGCATCTACTCCCCCCACCAAATCACCAATATCAAGAGTTTTGAGTCTGTCTAAGATCTGAGACACCGCGTGATTTCATATAAAAATTGGAGTATTTTAATGAATTCCATATGATGAGGCATTTAGGCTCATTAAACTACTGAGTTTGTCTGACCTTTCATTCTGAGCTTCCGATGTGCTATTTTAGATTTAAGCTGCTCTTTCTTTTCAGTCTACTATCCTGACTTACATCAATAGTTACTACGCCCTCTGTTCCAATGTCTCAAACTTTCAAAATTTTCTTTGTTCTAAAAAGTCATATTTCAACATAAGCTAGCTGCCTAGCTCTTCTTTGAAGTTGGGGTTGGCAATTGTTCAAAAAAGAAAGTGTTCCAAACAGTTAAGGCTCCACGTGTTTCCTGGAAAGTATACATAAATCATAAATGCATTGTGAAAAATATTTTTGGGAAATATTTTGCAGGGAAAAGTTCATCTTCCTAAAAAATAAGTTTGGTCACTCGTTCTATATGAAAATACCTTATCGTTTTTTAAAATGGGAAGGCATTTCTCACAAGAGTTTATAGAATTAAGGAGATTATTTTTCATGAAAATGTATGCATGTGCCAAACATTATAGATTCAGAAACTAATTTTGAGGACAACATTTTCCTGTGAACAGACTGAGCCTAAAAGCTTCTCAAGTTTAGTTTAACAATTTTTTCTTTTTTAAATATAAGTCTGACTGATCATTTCCATGACTTGTAATGTGTAAATAACAAAAGATAAGAAGTTCTACCACACTGAAGTTAGACTCTTTTTTTGGATCATTGGATGGAGTACTATTTACCCTATCTTACATACGGTATTGGTTTGGGACATCTCTAATACATTTTCTTAATATATTTTGCCACATATATATCCATCACAGGTGCAACCTCTTTCCTCTTCACTGAATACCAGTATGTTGGTGTTTTTATGGTTGCTTTTGCAATTTTGATCTTCCTTTTCCTCGGCTCTGTTGAGGGTTTCAGCACAAAAGACCAAACATGTACCTATTCCACCTCCACAAAGTGCAAGCCTGCACTCGCCACTGCCATCTTCAGCACCATCTCCTTCTTGCTTGGAGCCGTTACTTCTGTCGTTTCTGGCTTTCTCGGGATGAAAATAGCAACTTATGCAAATGCCAGAACCACCCTTGAGGCTAGGAAGGGCGTTGGGAAGGCATTCATTACTGCTTTTAGGTCTGGTGCGGTTATGGGCTTTCTTCTTGCTGCTAATGGGCTTTTGGTCTTGTACATTACCATCAATCTCTTCAAGTTGTACTATGGTGATGACTGGGAAGGCTTGTTCGAGTCCATCACTGGTTATGGTCTTGGGGGATCTTCTATGGCCCTTTTTGGCAGAGTGGCTGGGGGTATCTATACAAAAGCTGCAGATGTCGGAGCTGATCTTGTTGGCAAGGTTGAGAGAAACATCCCAGAGGATGATCCCAGAAATCCTGCGGTAGGGTTCTTTATAAATTTGAGCTGTGAAGATTGTTGCTCATTTGCTCAAGCTTCTGAATTATCTATTAAAACCCTTTAAATTCACCACTCCCATTTTCAATGTCTCATTTTCGTTTGGAGGGATATTTAGCGAAGAAAACTTTTTTAATTGAGAGTTTCATTTATACCCTTGTGATTGATTTTTCTAAAGTGGGTGAATTTTTAAAGTGGCTATATGTTTAAGAGTAAGGGTAACAAACTATAATTGGTAGTAAATTTATTTCCATTTTAGAAATGAAACAGTATAAATGGGACAAATGGGAAATGAAATTGGGCCACTATCTTTGTAATAGGGGCAGTTTTTCTTAAATTTCTTAAATAAAGTAAAGAAATAGCATATTAGCATCTAGACATGAAGCTAAAAATGTCTTTTTTCATTGGTTTCAGTTTTATGAGTAAAGTATAGACCATTTTTCATTAAAGTATGGAGAATATGGCTGATATAAAGTGAAAGAATTAACACCAAACAGTTTCACAGAGCCTGTTTGGAAATCTATTACTTGGTTGAAAATGAATTCTTAACCTTAATTTTATGATGTATTCTCCTTTGCTTGCTTAAATAATAAATATATATTTAAAATAATATTTTAGGATAATTCAGCCATTTACGCCTTACCAAATCTGTTCTTAATTCAACTTCTTTGCTAATTGGTTGATGAACATCTAATTGTCTCTCAGGTGATTGCTGACAACGTTGGCGACAATGTTGGAGATATTGCTGGCATGGGATCAGACTTGTTTGGCTCATATGCAGAGTCATCTTGTGCTGCCCTTGTTGTTGCTTCAATATCTTCATTTGGGACTAACCACGAGTTTACACCTATGCTATATCCTCTTCTTGTCAGTTCCGTGGGCATTCTAGTTTGTTTGCTCACCACCCTTTTTGCTACTGATTTCTTTGAAGTCAAGGCTGTAAAGGAAATTGAGCCAGCACTGAAGAAGCAACTCATTATCTCTACTGTCCTGATGACCTTTGGCATTGCTCTCGTTACCTGGATTGCACTTCCATATTCCTTCACCATTTTCAACTTTGGAGTCCAGAAAGAAGTACATAGCTGGTAATTTCTCACCCCTCATAGGGGAATTAAAATAGTTGCCAATGAAATTCTTATTTTTCATGTTTTGCTTTACCTTAGAAAATATGAACGAAAATAAAATTCTGTTCATTTTGAAAATTATATACTCCAGAAATAAATACTTAAATAGAACTGATATTCATTTTGTCAAGATCTCTACAAAAATAAAATAAGGAAACCATGATTTTTTCATAAAAACCGAGTGTAAGGTAAAACACTCAGAATCAGTATCATGCTGTCTGACTAATTCTATCTTGCAGGCAATTATTCTTATGTGTTGGTGTTGGTTTGTGGGCTGGCCTTATCATTGGATTCGTGACAGAGTACTACACTAGTAATGCTTACAGGTACTTATTTCTACTTTGCTTTTGTTAAATTGGGTGTAACTCCCAAAAGGACTCCCAGAGTATGTTACTGGCATCTTAAGGTATGGATTAATGGTTCCAAACTGACTCTGAAATGGTTTACCGCAAAAATCAAGTGAAAGTGCACCTTCCAAACCACCAAGAGACCAGGCTGCAATGTCTTGTTAAGTCAAAAGTTGTGTTTTACCTTACATTTATTATATACTAGAATCAAAATCAGTCAACAACAACCAATGTGTGATGCTCAGCACAACCTCTCAATTCTAGACAAATTGGACACCTGAAGTAATGAACAAAGTAGCTTACACAGACCCAAAATGAGATAAAATTGAATCAGGTTATGGTATATCATGTTAGTTAGTATAGTGCACCCCATAGAATCATCACACTTATACGCTACATCCAAACCTGGTGATGTGTGATACTCAACAGCCTTTATGTGATTTTATTAGTATCCATCATAAATTGCAACTCTTGTCCCTTTTGTTTACCAGCCCTGTGCAAGATGTTGCTGATTCCTGCCGCACTGGAGCTGCCACAAATATTATATTTGGCCTTGCTTTGGGTTACAAATCTGTTATCATTCCGATATTTGCAATAGCAGTCAGCATCTTTGTCAGCTTCAGCTTTGCTGCCATGTATGGAATTGCTGTCGCCGCCCTTGGAATGCTTAGCACCATTGCAACTGGTTTGGCTATTGATGCATATGGTCCCATCAGTGACAATGCTGGAGGCATTGCAGAGATGGCTGGTATGAGCCATAGAATACGTGAGAGAACTGATGCCCTGGATGCAGCTGGAAACACTACCGCTGCTATTGGGAAGGTAAACTTTCTATCCCCATCATATATATTGTTCCAGCTAAATACCCTCTCCCCCAAATTTTACTCTACATTCCGGATTCCAAACAAACTCTAAAGGCCATGTAAATTTTTAGCAACATGCAAACACAAGTTTCACTTGCATTCCATATTTATAAGATCCTTGATGCATCCAAGTGAATAATTTCAGGGATTTGCAATTGGGTCTGCCGCACTCGTGTCTCTTGCCTTGTTTGGTGCATTTGTGAGCCGCGCTGCAATTTCAACCGTAGATGTTCTAACACCTAAAGTCTTCATTGGTTTGCTTGTGGGTGCAATGCTTCCTTACTGGTTCTCTGCCATGACGATGAAAAGTGTGGGTAAGGCTGCCCTTAAGATGGTTGAGGAAGTGCGCAGGCAATTCAATACCATCCCAGGTCTCATGGAAGGCACTGCTAAGCCTGATTATGCCACATGTGTCAAGATCTCTACAGATGCCTCTATCAAGGAGATGATTCCACCTGGTGCTCTTGTCATGCTTACTCCACTGATAGTTGGGATCTTCTTTGGTGTAGAAACCTTGTCTGGAGTCCTTGCTGGATCCCTTGTCTCTGGTGTACAGGTGATAACTCTAACAGTTACCCTCTATTTGTGCTAGAAATATAAATAAAAATTACTCCATATTGATAGTGGAAGGGTTTATGTGTAAATTTGGTGTTTATAGGTCGCCCCAAAAATCCTTTAGATGTAAGGTTCTATTAAACTCAAACCAAGTAGACAACTGATGTGGAATACTCAATGCACCTCACTCAGTATAGGCCAGGTTGCACGCCTAAATAGGTGGCTGAATGGGTCAAAATCGACTCTCAACTGGATTATCCCAAATCATTGAGTGCCTGGCCACCTCACTAATCATAGGACCAATCTCTGTAGCTATATTTAATTGAACCTACTCACACCTATAATGGACTACTACGCAATAGACGATCAAACTGGTTGTAGCAGGCCAGAAACCATGTTCTTTAGTTGGTGTTCTAATTAGTCGTGTATGGATTTGAATAGATTGCTATCTCTGCATCAAACACTGGTGGTGCCTGGGACAATGCTAAGAAGTATATCGAGGTAAATTGTCGAAAACTGGTCTTTTATGCTATTTTTGGAACTCTGAAAAAGATGAGGAAAAGGTAATGCAAAAATAAGAAGGAAAATGGTTTCTCTTTTCTATGCTTTTCTTTGCGAGGAAAAATACCAAAGAAAAGGTTTTTTAATCTTTAAAGTTTTGGCACATATTCAGATTTCTTAGTCTTTATAAAGCTGAAATTTCTAAATAAAAAGGATTTTGAAAAAATATGTAAATTTTGGTTTTTGAGCTTGAAGTATTTTTTAAAATTCTTCTATTTTCTTTTCTTCCAATTTTTTCTTCGTATCCCCTTGTTTTTTTCCACAGCCTTTCCTGGTTCCCAACTGAACCTTGCGATTCTCATACTGGCCATAAAACTGACTCTCGACATTTCTAGTAAAATTTTTATTGCTTCTCTCTACACAGGCCGGTGCTTCAGAACATGCGAGAACCCTTGGCCCCAAGGGGTCTGATCCGCACAAAGCTGCTGTGATTGGTGACACCGTTGGTGACCCTCTCAAAGACACATCGGGGCCATCATTGAACATTCTTATCAAGCTTATGGCTGTGGAGTCTCTTGTTTTCGCACCCTTCTTTGCTGCACATGGTGGTCTTCTCTTCAAGATCTTCTGAGAACCTTGGGTTGTATTCCTGCCAAAGTGTATTCTGTTCTTTTTGCCTACAACTTCTACCTTTAATGTGATTTCTTTTTTGCGCATGGTTAGATTCTTGGAGAGAAATGTTCACCTATGATGGCGAAAATTCATAAATCTATCTAGAGAGTACATTTGTTTTGCTCTTCTCTTCAGTGTTGGCCCGTCGGCCCGTCTCAATTTACCTGTGGTTTTGGTTAAGATTTTTTGTCAGATTCAGATATGCTCAAAACATTACAGAATCCCATTTCTTAAAATGCTAAAGCCTAGTTGGTTTCATGTAGGGATACATTTGGTTTTATCCATTTTTCTTACAAACTTGATCTTGAAGACTTGAACTGATACTGGTGGATCCTAGTTTAGAAAAATTGAAACCGGTCAAGACTTAAGAATGGTAACAATGGTGGGATGGTTCGGTTATATACCTGCCCGGTCCGTATTTGAACTGGGTTCTGTTCAACACCTCGTTCATGGAATGATGGAACTCACTCCTCGTTATTGATTATCTATCACGCTTCATGAAATGATCATTTTTGTGTCATTTTGATTACTAAAATGGCTTTCCTGGTTTTCCCTTCTCTTCATACTGTTATTCTTCAAAGCATTTACCTCCTTCATTTCAAACTCCCAAACATAATTGAATTAGCTATTTTAGTGGGTTTCTTTTAATTACTAAATAATATAAATGGATAAAAATGTACACGTTTATTACTTTGTAAAACATGTCATAATATTTCTCGTTTAGTGAGATCACCATGGTCGACCACCCTTCGTCCCTTCCACTAGAATCGTGACTTTCTCAACAAAATTTCTTCATTAGTGGCGGTGATAGTTATATTTTGATAATTTTTCTTAAAGATTTTTCCTTAAATAAAAGTAAAAAATAATGTAATATTTCAAAATAGTAGCATTATATTTCCCCCCCCCCTAAATAGTCTTGATTGGAGTATAACACCAATACTATCATATGATATTAATTTCTCATAATACCACGAATTATAATAGGCAAATTATATCCTACACCCGGGTGTATAGATACACCCGGGTGTATAGATACACCCGGTATTTTTGTAAATAAACCAAATTCAAGCTTCTGAGTCAGCATGTTCTTTTCATCATCTTACGTCTTCAGCAACCATCATCTTTCTTTCTTTTCTCCGTTGCCTTCCTCTTTTCTTTCTTTTCTTCCGCTGCCTTCCACTTTTCCTTCTTTTCTTCCACCGCCTTCCACTTTTCCTTTCTTTCTTCTGCCGTCATCAATTATGATCGTTATGTTTACTTTTGTTTTTTTTATTTTCTTTACTTTTTTTAGTGGTTCTGATTGTTAGGTTTTTTATCTTTTTGTTTTTTATTTTCTTTACTTTTTTAGTGGTTAATTTCACTTTCTTTGAGTTTGTCTTTTTCTTTTACTTTCTTTACTTATTTTCTTTGGTTTTTTGTACTTCTTTTCCTTTCTTTATTTGTTTTACCTCTTTCTCTTTTTCATATATTATACCGAGCACATTAGAAATGAGTTTTACCTTAAACTGAAATGAGTAAAACGCTTAAAAATGAACATGCACAAATGAACTTTTGAATTTTTGAATACTCATTTTGTAAATTATGTATGTTCATTTAGTATCTCTGTTATGCTCATTTTTAAAATGTTTTATCAATGCATATTTCAAAAGTCTCATATTACATTAGATTTATATAAGAGTTGATTATAAACACGAGACAACAAATCATGATACTCAATCACAGACAGATTCTAATACTCAATAACGGAGGCTTGATGCTCACTGAAAATGTCTTGATGCTCAACTAAAAAAGCAACTAACAAATTCATTAATACTCATTTTGTAAGTTACGTATGTTCATCTGAGATTGATCATTTACTCATTTTATAAATGTCATATCAATGCATTTTAAAAGTACTACAGAGTATTTTATATTAGACTCTAATACTCAATATAATAGGTCTGATGCTCATTAAAAGTTCATTATTACTGATTCTCCAGAAGTCGTGATTTTCATCTCAATAGTGGAGGTTGATGGTCATTTAAAATGTTATGATGTTCAACTAACAAACCTTACGATTTTCATATAATGTGCACTTTGTAAGTTATGTATGCTCACTTTGTACTAATGTTATGCTCATTTTTAAAATGTCATATCAATGCATGTTCCAAAAGTATCATATTACATTAGACTCACATATTGAAATTAACAGGAGTAGATTATAGATAATTTAATAAGTTTTTATAAATGAAAAAATAACAAAAAAAAAGAAAAAGAATTAGAAGATGTGAAACAGAGATCGTGATACTCATAATTAGCTTTCTAATACTCAATAAAATAGGTCAAATGCTCATTAAAAGTACATTATTGCTCATTTAGCAGGAGACGTGATTTTTCGCTTAAATTACAAAAATGTCACCGTTAAAATAATTGTCCCCTTTGCTTGTTTTCCACTCCAGACCTGTTGTTTATGGGGTTTGCTCGTTAATTATTGTGCGCCTCCATTATATTCATTAAATTTCATTTAAATTGGACTGAAGCTTTAAAAAATTAAAAAAATACCCGGATGTACGGTTCCCACACGTACACCCGGGTGTAGTATATACGAACTGAATTATAATAGTATGATTTCAGTATACTAGTAATTATTCTTGTTTAGCACAATACATATTAATGCTATTTTTTGCAATTAATATTAATGCTATTTTAAAAATCACATTATTTTTACTCATATTCCGATGTCCCCGTTTTTATACTACTCCCTCCATCCACTAACGAGTTTTTTCCACTTTTAGTCCTACGACTATTATGTCATTGACACTTTTGGTATTCGACTTTGATTTTTTCCATTTTTAGTCTTTGACTATGCTAGAGAGACTTTTGTTACCCGTCTTTGAAAATTTCCATATTTAGTTCTTCAACTTTCATAAAAGTGACATTTTTTGTTCTTCAACTATTATAATAGTGACATTTTTAGTCCTCCACTTATTATATCAACATCATAATGGGAGGACTAAAAGTGTCAATTTGAAAATACTGAGGGACTAAATGTGGAAAACCTTGAACCTGAAATTGGACCAAGTGATCAAGGTTCGAAATTAGTCCTCCACTTATTTAATTTTATTTTTACCCGCACGGGTAGCCTGTTTGGTCGAGTGGTGGGAAAATTGGACCAAGTGACCAAGGTTCGAAACCCGCAGCGGCCGTGTGAAGGTTACAAAACCTGAAATAAGGCTAGATCTCTGGTGCGCACGTGTATAAGGCCTACCGCCGCTTTGCTGACTGAGTCACCGTGATCCCCACCATCCTGCCGGGTCGGGGTGGGGGGTCTTGGGGTTGGGCATTCAACCTTTCGGACCAAATATAAGATTGTATTATCTATAGAAAGGTACAAGTAAAAGACACGGTGGGAATATAAACAATCATTTTTTTGAAAGAAAAATTCGTGATTTAGATTCAAAATAAACAATCATTTTAAATTAGATGAATAAAATAAAAAATCATTTTTAATATATAGAGAATACACATTCAGTGATTTAGATTCAAATGCTCCAACCAATGACACAAAATAACAACCATTATTTGCACTCACAATACCGATGGTGATCTATAAGGTAAGTTCTCTTCATCTCTTTTTCACTTTTACAATTTGTTTTTCATAAACGTGCAATTTAGGGTAAGCGCAGTAGATTTCTTTCACCAAGAGGTGTTTTTCTTCACAGTAGTATTCAAGTTATAGAAGATTGCTGAGTTAGCTGAGCCTTTCTTATATTAGGATCCCGTTTGTACCTTTGATTATGAAAATAAAACTAATAAGGGCTGTCAAACCCTTAATTACCCCACCAGTTTGGTGATCACTTTTTGGGTATGAAAAGAAAACTCCTTGTGGTTTATTCCTACCCAAGATATTTTCTTTAAGATTTTACTTAACCATGATATTATTACGTTATTGTACCTTATTCTCGTTCATCCTTGTTTCTAGTTGATGAAATGCCTTACATATTTAATACTCCACTATATATGTGTTAGGTTATTTTGACTTGACTATTTTCGGTCCCAGACTAGACCAGACCATACTTAAATAAACCAGACTAGACTTTCGTAGTTATAAAATACATGGAGATCAGACCGGTTCAGACCAAACCAGACCACGTTCAAACAGACCCGATCAGACCCGACCAACAAATTTCAGTCCAAGTGAAAACGTCCTTAGTTGGTTATAAACTGTAGAGTACTTCGACACAAAAAAACTAATACTCCATCCGTCGCAATATTACTCTTGTTCAAACTTGGCACACATATTAAGAAAGTGGGAAATGTGTGACCTAAAGTTGTGTAGAGGAGAGAGAAAGTGAGAGAAATGTCGTAAACCACACATTCTTTGCTAAAAGGGAAAAAAAATTTATATTAGGACTGACTAAAAAGAAAGAATGAAGATAATATTGGGACGGAGGAGTAGCATTTATTTATAATAATTATACAAAAAACTAATATATTATCAAACTATTTCTTTTTTTCTTTGCTAATTACATCAAACTATTTCACTTCAGCAATTTCAACTTTTTTAGTCTTTTCAGTGATTTGAGTGGATGCAACCATTTCCAAACAAACCCTTATTCTTTAAGATTACTATCGTATAATAGAGACTCCTTAATACGTGTTTTTAACTTTTCATATTTAATTATTCGACTTTTACATGCTTCAAAAAAATTATTGGACTTTTTTAAAAGTGTCACTGCCAAAAAGTCTTTAATATCTTTTGGCCTGATTTACTTCAAGTATGGTCTAACTTGTATGTCTGATAAACATACTACGTATAATGCATTCGAATTTTTCTATCATCTAAATTTAGTGTAATTCTAATGTGATAATATGTTTAAACCCAATCTAGTTTGGGACGGAAACCTCTTCAATAAAGACAAGTTTTGTCCTTCTATGATTTTGTCCTACAATAAATATTAAAAGATAAAAATTCTTGAAAATAGATTGTTCAATTCAGTACGAAATAAGGGTTTATATGAGACCAAATACATATTTGTATTTTTCCTTATATTCCGGAAAAATAATTAAAATACCCAAACTTTGATGGGGTGTGAGATAAGCACCTCAAACTTGCATATGTAATTTAAATACCCAAAACTTCGTATAAAAAATTATTTTCGCACCATGGTCATGTATTAATTTTTTCAAGACGTGGGGACGAACGTCCCCACTCCTGGTCATTTATGTCCCCGTCTAGGTGCTCATAGGGACTAACGTCCGAACGTCTTGAAAAAGTAATAAATGATCATGGTGCTAACATAACTTTTTATATAAAATTTTGAATATTTAAATTAAATATGCAAGTCAAAGTTTGGAGTATTTTGATTATTTTCTCCTTCACGAAAATATATTTTGTTTCCAACCTCAAATAATTGTTGAGTATGACCAAGGACAAAATCGGCAAAGTGGGTTTTACCGGAAGGGGCTAGGACTCCGACAATCCGTTATCGTCGTTTTGTGTCTGATTGATACAACCCGTATTTGAACTTTGTTTTCAATTACTGGAGTGGAGTAATTCATTCATTGTAATTTCATAATTTATACTCCAGGTTTCAATTCCTCCCCTTTTCTATTCATATACGGATTACCATTTAAGCGCAGGTTCTGACTCGGAAAAGATAACTGCGGATTCCAGCTGTTTCCGATCCACTCTCAAACTCTTTTGAGCTCGTTTTGTAAATAGTAAAGTCAAATAGAAAGAGAGCAGAAACAGAAACAGAAACAAGAAGTTTAGTTGATGATTCCAATTTGGCATTGTTGGAGCTGGAAAAATCTCGGGTATATTTAAAACGTGTTCTGCTATCAGGTATATATTAGAACCTGCTGTCTTCGTTTCCTTTTCCCTAAAAAATTGCTGCTTTGATGAATTTCATGTGCATAACTGTAGTTGACTAAAAGTGCTTATCAGGTGTAAATGTGTTCTGTTTGTTCCAATGAGTCATTTTTCTTGGCTCATAGCTTCTTAAATGAGTGGAATGAAATGACATACTTTAAATTTTCTGTCTGCAATTTGGTTACTCAATCATGTAATTTGGTAGGAAATTGCCTAAAGGGTCTATCTTGATTGGTGTTTTAGAGAGGAGGGCCTTGTATGATTGTATCTTGATACATAGAATGTGCCTAAAAATGGATAAAGGCTAATTGGAAGGCTTTATAATCACACATTGTGTTAGTCCCTCATTTGTTAAATATTAAATCTCAAAGGGGAACACATCAAGGTGTACTTAGCCCTTCAAAAACTTCCTGCCTAACTTACACTTAACGTTGGCTGGAAGAACCATACATATCCTTGAATGTGGAGTGATTCTTTATGTCTGGTTTGGTTGTTTGTATTTTAGCTTAAATAGTTTTTTTAAAACAATATGTCCTTGTCACACTTTTCCTCTTTCTCTAATCTAATGAGAGATGCCCAAGTAACTTGGACTCAGTAATTTGCTTATCTTATGTTACAGTCCCAATGTAATGCTGTAAACACATAGCTGTTTCTTGTGCTTTAAATCATTGCTTATCTTATTAACTGCGGGTAGTTAAATATTAAACACAATGTATCTATATCTCCACTGTATGTTATAAGATTGCCTATTAAAGCTGTACATATTATTCAATGCTTACCCCATAATATACTTTCATATGGTTCCTGTTTTCAACACTTGCAATTAAGATCTTAATTAATATAATCTGATTGTTCCATGTTCTTTTTTCATTTACTATTTACAAAGGCAGCTATGTTGAGCTTCAAGGATTGGGTCTTATCTCAATTAGTGTCCAGGACACTAGCAGAACCAACATCAGAAAGTATTTTGTCACGGGAAAGTCCAAATGAAGAGTACGACACCCGAGGTATAGTCTCTTATCTTAGTGATTAACTAAAAGCACATAGTATAACATCATTACTCCCTCCGTTCTAAAATAAGGTTCTTATTTTCCTTCTCTGGCCATCCCAGAATAAGGTGTTCTGGTTTCCTTTAGAAATTTGTGGTTCATTATTATTTCTTTCTAAATAAATCTCAACCGGGAACCTTATAATATACACAACTTGCAAAATCTACACAACTTTACTTCATAATATACTTATCATGTCAAGCCGGGAACCTTATTTTGGGATGGGGGAGTATCTTTCACTCTTTGTACTTCAATATTTTCTGAAACCTGAATTTGCATTGTGTGTCTAGTGTACACAGCTGAGTCTGCCCATTCTAATTGTTGCTAGTTTGCGTGTTGAACACACATGCAATTGTGACAACTCACAATTTTTCCAATTCCTTAGGTTCATTTTAAGCAACATTTTTTTGTGACTGTTAATTTTTAGCCCCCATTTTTTACTGAGTCTTGGAGTGGTGAGGTGAAAAACTCAATGCTATGAGGAAGTTCGTAGAGTTAGAGTTGTGAGATGAAATGCAATTATAGATTTGATACAGAGTATATTTTTGATAGGCTAAGTTGTACAATTGTAATGCTTGAAACAATTTTTGTGAAGAATTGTTTTTGATAGGCTATGGTTTTTTAGGAAGAAATAAATAGACTGTTAAAAATTTGTCCTTAATTCAAATCTTTTGGTCCAAAAAAGAGTCCTATTTCATGAAATTCAGCTAATTTTTCATGTAATTTTCCAATATTATTCAAAAAAATTAAATGTGAAGCGTTTATATAAACTAACAAATAAAACTTTATAATAGAAATACGATTTCATGATTTTTAAGAATTGTACCTTACAGATATTTAACGTTGTATCTTGATCAAACAAGACTTAGTTTTTGTGATGGAGAGAGTGATATAACGAACCAATAGCAACTCATGGGAGACATCATGCTGCTGTGGAGGCGGTATTGTGACAATTTGTCCAGTGTCCATGCCCATAATTACTACACAAAGTGGTGCACACAAGGCAGTAAGGCACCAAGCTGCGCTGCCAAAACAAAAACCTTAAACTAAGGGAATCTCTGTTGGCCAGTGTTGAGGTCCTTTGACACAAGGAAATTGCAGTCAGCTGAGCTCTGCATGAAATTGAAAATAAATCCTGCTTTAGTTCATGATGAGTTCTTGCACCAATAATATACCAAGTAATCTTGAAACAGCTAACAACACCTAGAAACTGCCTTTGACTGACTGTGATTTCTAGCTGATATAATATGTGCTGTGTAATGAGTAATGATAATGTGTCACCTTTTAATTGTGTACTATCTTTTACATATTTTTCAGCTACTCTGGTTATGTTACCAGCATCCCCTGGCACTTCTTTCTCTTCAAACAATAATAATCCAGAAAACCATAACCAGTTGTGTCCTTCACATCAACTCATCAATGAAACTTCCTCTCACCAGACTGGTAACGGCTTTATTGAGAAAAACCCAATAGCTCGAATTGAAAATCTTCAAATCGAGTTTTTGCGTATTCTTCATCGTTTCGGGTTACCAGAAGACGATATCATGGTGTCGAAGGTCTTATACCGGGCCCACTTGGCCACAATGATTCGTGCAAGGGAATCTGATTTGAAAAGATTCAGTCTTCAAATTGGGAAAGCGAGAGAGATAGCAGCAGAAAGGGAGGTGGCTTTGTGTCAGCCTGAACTGGGATTCTCCTTTAAGGTGCTTTTACTAGGTAAAGATTAGTTAAATTATATAAATACTAATAGGTATATAATATATATACTCCATATATGGTGCACAAAATATAGTCCAATTATATTTTCATTTTTACCTTCCAAGGTAAAACCAAGCATAAAAAATAAAATGTTTCCCCTTAATATTGTTTCACCTTTCCTTATCATTTTTTTGCGTTCGAAGCATACCAAGAGAGAGGTAACCATTACACTGTTAAAACTAGGAGTAAATAATTTTCATACTTTGCAGGTAGAACTGGAGTTGGGAAGAGTTCAACAATAAATTCTATATTTGGTCAAAGTAAGGCCACGACAAATGCATTTCATCCTGAGACAAATCACGTATACGAAATCACCGGGACCATGAAGGGCGTCAAAATTTCTTTCATTGATACTCCTGGCCTGTTGCCTTCATCTCCAAGAAATACCCGGTTAAACCGGAAAAGTTTGAACAAGGTGAAGAAATACATAAGAAAGAACCCTCCAGATATGGTATTATATTTTGAACGACTTGATTTGATGGACAATGTGGGTTATTATAGTGATTTCCCTTTATTGAAACTTGTGACTGAAGTGTTTGGTATTTCAATTTGGTTCAATGCCATCCTCGTGATGACCCATTCTGCCTCCCCTCTGCCTGAAGGTCCTCACGGGTACCCAGTTACTTTTGAGTCGTACACTGCCCACTGCACTGCTCTTCTTCAACATCACATCCACCGGGCAGTGTCCGACCCGAAACTCCAAAATCCAGTGGTTATGGTGGAGAACCATCCTAACTGCAAGACCAATGGTTCTGGAGAGAAGATTCTCCCGAACGGGCAAGTTTGGATGGTCCGATTCTTTTTAACGTGCATATGTACCAAAGTTCTTGGCGATGTTAATACTGTGTTGGGCTTTGAAGATATAAAATTGGGTCCTTCTAAAGCCACTCGTTTGCCTTCACTTCCCCATCTTCTTTCATCTTTTCTTAAACATCGTGCTCAACGAACGCATGATGAAACTGAAGAGTTAGATTATGAAGAGGGTGAGTATGATGAATTGCCTCCTATTAGGGTTCTGACTAAAACTCAGTATGATAAATTAAGTCCCCAGGAAAAGAATGATTATCTTGATGAGCTGGATTTCAGGGAAACCCTCTATTTGAAAAAACAGATGAAGGAAAAGTCGTGGAGCTCTCTGGACGGACAGGCAGAACGAGCAGAGCTTGTTCCTCTGCCTGATATGGACATCCCACCTAGTTTCACCTCGGATTGGCCCGCACATAGATACAGGTGTCTCACTACTATTAGTGAACAATGGGTTGCTAGACCAGTTCTTGATCCGCACGGGTGGGACCATGACATGAGCTTTGATGGGATCAATTTCGAGATGAATGGAAAAGTTATCGGCAATGTTGTAGCATCCGCCGCGGGGCAAATGAGCAAGGACAAACAAGACTTTAGCATTCAATCAAAGTGTACTGCTGCTTATATGAATCCCAGTGGGTCCGTTTGTACTGCCATGGGTCTTGATGTTCAATCCACCGGTCAAGAACTGATCTGTTCTTTACACAGCAATGCACAAGCCAAGAATCTGAAGTGTAACATAACGGAATGTGGAGTTTCTCTGAATTCTTTTGGCGGAAATTACTTTCTGGGCACTAAGGTCGAGGACTGCTTGAGCGTCGGGAAGAGGTTGAGGTTGACTGTGAAGGGCGGGCGGATGGCAGGTGCCGGGCAAGCGGCTTATGGGGGTAGTTTTGGAGCCACTCTGAGGGGGAAAGACTACCCGGTAAGGAATGAGAGTGTGAGTTTTACGACGACGGTCCTCTCATTGAATAGAGAGACTGTGTTGAGCGGAGAGTTGCTCATGGACTTCAGATTGAGTCGGGGAATGAACGTTTCTGTTGGGGCTAATATAAGCAACCAGATGATGGGGAAGGTTTGCATTAAAACAAGCAGTTGCGAGCACATGGAAATAGCTTTCATTGCACTTTTGTCAGTTCTGGGAGGCCTACTCAGGAAACTGGTAAAAGACCATAACAGCAAACAAGCTTTTTAAAATAGGTCTCCGCTATAATTGTTGCTAGGAGGTACTTCTTTCATTTCAAATTGACTAGCAATGTAAGGTTTCTAAAATTGAATGACGTTAAAGTTAAATCTTCCTTAAAGATAATTAAATCAGTTTACTAGTTAGAAATTTACCTATTGAGGGAATAAAAAATACTTCTATTGGAATTTAGGACAGTAACTTGTTTTTGTTAGAACCAATACGTTGTGCTACTCCATTGAGTAATGAGTTTTTAAAATGTTAAATCTCTCTCATTGATATACTTCCATTTTTTGAGTTATCTAAAAAATATGAGGGGATCAAAATAAACTAAACTCTCTTAGCCCACCAATAGTTAGTTTGTTTTTCTTTGCAAGAGCTAAAATAAAATGGATTAAGAATATTAGGGGTGGGCGCGGTCCGGAACGGTCCGGTAAATTAGCGAAATCCGTAATGTACCTGTGAGGTTTCTAATGTTTCGATTTGGTCTAGTTCTAGGGATGGAATCATTCAATACCATGTCGTTTTGGAATGGTACAAAATGATTCGGTAAAACATTTGGACAAATATTGCAATTAATAGATATCATCACACCGTCCAATTCATATGAAATGTTGATAAAAATATAAAAAAGTGCGTAGTAAATACTAGAAAAGATTCAAGACGTTGAAAGTTTTGTATTTAAATACACAAATACTCAGATAGTGCAACACAATTAAAGAAAAATAAAGCAAAATGACAATACACTAAATACATATCATCCTTATTATATTCATGTGAAAATATAAAAAGAATATTATCTAATTGTTGAATATAATAGGAAAAATCAACATTCTTCTTCTCTATTCTAGGATGATTATTAGTTCTAATTTAACTCATAGTCATTAAGTTGTAAAACTATACAAATATGATACAAAAAAAGAGATATACGCTAAATTACTAGAAATTCATAGTCATTGATGATTTTTAAAACTTTAGCATTCTTTCAATATATACCAAATATAACATAAATTATCTAAAAAGAAAAAATAACAATATTTACATAAACACGCACATTTAGGTATTTTAGGGATGCATGAATAAATACTTGAATTAGACTATAAAAGAGATTTATTGGTATGGAAAAAATATAAAAAACTCAAATGCATTATATACATACTTGAATTGGACCATCACCATCACCACTATCATCATCGTTACCATCATCATCACCACAATCACCACCATCATCATCACTACCACCACCACCACCATCATCATCATCACCATCACCATCATCACCATCATCACCATCACCATCATTACCATCACCATCACTATCAGAATCACCATCTCCATCACCATCATCACCATCACAACCACAACCACAATCATCATCATCATCACCCTCATGACCATCATCACCATCATCATTACCATCATCATCACTACCACCACCATCATCACCATCACCTCACCATCACCTCACCATCACCACCTTCACCATCTTCATCACTATCACCACCACCACCACCACTGCCACCACAACCACTGTCATCATCATCATCATCATCATCGTTACCATCATCATCATTCTACGATCACCACCATCACCACCATTGTCATCATCATCAACACCACCACCACCACTATCATCATCAGCCTCATCATCATCGTTACCATCATCATCACCATCACCACCACCACCATCATCATCACCATCACCATCACCACCATCACCACCACCAGTAACATCATCATCATTACCATCATCATAATCATCATTATCGTCACCATCACCACCATCATCACCATCAGCATCACGATCTCCATCACCGTCATCACCAACACCACCAATGTCATCATCATTGTTACCATCATCACCATTGTGATGATGGTGATGGTGATAGTGATCGTGATGGTGGTGGTGATGATGATGATGTATGGTGATGGTGGTGGTGGTGATGGTGATGATGATGTATGGTGATGGTGATGGTGATGGTGATGATGTTGGTGATGTTGATGATGATGATGTATGGTGGTGATGATGGTGATGATTGTGATGGTGATGGTGATCGTGATGATGATTATGATGGTGATGATTATGATGGTGATGGTGATCGTGATGATGATTATGATGGTGATGATGGTAATGATGATGGTGATGCTGGTTGTGATAATGATGGTGATGATGATGATACTGATGGTGGTGATGATGGTAATGATGATGATGATGATGATGGTGATGCTGTTGTTGCTAAAGAAGATAATGGTGATGGTGATGTTGCTGATGCTGGTGATGGCCGTGGATGGAGATGGTGATGATGGTGATGTTGATGGTGATGGTGATGATGATAATGATGATGATATTAATTATAATAATTGATAGATTATATGTCTAGAGAGAAGTGAGAGCTAGAGAGAGAAGTGATTTGTATTAATGATTTTCGAACCCTTACAACTACTCCCAAAAAGAGTATTTATAGGGAAAATATGGGTTTGGCTCCCAAGTCTTGGGCTTGGGAGGCCATTACAATATGAGGCCTCTATTGGGCTGATTACATTCGTACGTAGTGGCTAAGTATGGAACTCTGGCTCTATGAGCTCCCTGTGGTCGACGAATGTCTGACTGACGATGTGGCAGACGTAGGTCCGGGAGACGAACGTCTGGCTGACGATGTGGCAGACGTAGGTCTGGGAGACGAACGCCTGGCTGACGGAGGTGGGGCAGACGAGGTCTGGGAGACGAACGTCTGGCTGACGGAGGTAGTGTTGAAGGTCGTACGTCCCCGAAGGATCGCTACGTGTTGGAGGTCGTACGTCACCGGGGTGTTCCATGTGATGGAGGCAGTACGTCCCCGGGGTGTTCCCTGTGCTGGAGGCCGTACGTCCCCGGGGTGTTCCATGTGCTGGAGGCCGTATGTCCCAGGGGTGTTCTATGTGCTGGAGGTCGTACGTCCCCGGGGTGTTCCATGTGCTGAAGGCCGTACGTCCCCGGGGTCTTGTTTGTAGTAGTGGAAGTATGTGGGTCATGGGGTCTGGACTCATATACTCTATCAGGAGTCCCCCACTCTCTGAGCTAAGATGTAGACAAAGTGAAAGGGAGTAGATCCTTGGCGTCTTGATGTTTTTTGGCCTTCGGAGGATTACCTGGGAGTTCTGGCATTTCTGGCCGAGGTGGTGCCATAACTGAGCCGTCAGGAACGTCCTTCATTTTGAGGCCGAGGCGGTAAATTGCTGAGCCATTGTGGGTTGCCAACTGTGCTTCTGGCCGAGAAGACAACACAATTGCTTTTGGCGCTCCAGGCCGAAGCGAAGTGATTCGTAGTTTGGTGTCTATGGCTCCCAGGACGATGGGGGTCCTGGACCAGAGGACATTGTGTGCCCTTGGTTTTATGGACGATGGATGTCCTGCCTTGATGTTTCGGCTGACGCGGGACCACTATGGCTGATCTTTACGTTTGGCCGTTGTGGAGCCTTTGTTTCCATGTCGTAGACGATGTGTGCCCTTCTGCTTTGAGGACGATGAGTGTGATGTGTTCTTTGTACGTTTGTGTCGAGGATGATGCGTTTCCTTTGTTTTGAGGACGACGCATGTCAATACTTGGTGTGTTTGATTTGGACGAAGTAGGTCCTTGATATTGAGGATGACGTGCGTCCTGCTTTGTGCTTTGTCTTGGCCTGAGGTGGACGTTCGTGGTGTTATTTTCTTCTCTTGGCCGAGGATGGAGCATATGACCCAAGGCCGTTGGAACTTGGAACTCCACATGTCGAGGGACGACACGTGTCACGTTCTGGGTGATGTGTTTGAGCTTTGCTTCCTTGTTTGCTTATTTTGCTGCGGCCGAGGGTATACCACAAGGTCCTGGACGTTGTGGTGCATGGACGATATGATGTCGTTGCAGTTGTACACTTGTTCATTTTTGGATTTTCAGTTTCATCTTTGTGTTCGAGGCTGATGCAGTCCCCTAGTCTCCCACTGCCTGAGGCGAGAGTATTTGAGGCGAAAGGGAGTAGAGCTATGTACTGATCCGTCTGGTGTCGCCAAGGCACCTTGCTCAGATTCCCCAAGCCGATAATCCGACCTCATTGGCGAGCCCTGACTGAGGCAACCCTATGGGAGAATCCTCAGCTGAAGGTCGCATGCCAGGGACCGTCACTACCAATCTAGGGACCGAGGGGCTATGCGTATGATGTGAGGTTGTCGCTGGTGCATGTGGCAATCTTTGTAAAGGAGGCGCTAAGTCCCCGGCTCCTTGAGGTGAAAAGGAGTAGAGCAATGCACGTCTTCAATATGGGGCCGAGGGTCGACACCTTTTGATCCACAATGGGGCGATGCCTCGTTAAAAACCACATTAGGAAAAACCCTGTGGGAAAAAATCCTAATGAGGGAAAAAGAGCACACCGGATGACCCCAAAATGTAGCAAAAGTTGTGTTCCCTTCGGCCTGGGCGTGGAGCCGTAGTGGTGTCCAACTGCTATGGGGGCACTCGTCTGATGATGAGGACGAGCAGGTGGATGCCTGTCTGATTATGAGGACGAGGCGGTGGACGCATGTCTGATTATGAGGACGAGGCGGTGATGAGCCGGTCTGAATGTTAAGGAGGAGGCGATGGACGCCTGCCCGATCATGAGGACAAGGCAGTGGACGACTGTCTGAATATGAGGACGAGGCGGTGGACGCTTGCCTGATCACGAGGACGAGGTGGTGGATGCCCGTCTGAATATGAGGACGAGGTGGTGGACACCTGTCTGAATATGAGGACGACGATGGTGATGAACTGTGTGCCCTATGAAGGCGGCGGCCGCTATCCAGGAGGGGACTAACGAGCCCGGTCACTATAACAATACTTCGGCGTTGGGATCTGGTCTTTGAGATAAATAATCACGCCAAGGCCGAGGGGCTGGCAGTGATATGAGGACGACGACACTGAGGGGCCGGACCAAAAATCCATGAAACGGTCACCCTCCGGTAACGGAATGGCTAAGACTGGTCTTGAGATATGGAATCACGCTGTGGCCGAGGGGCAACAACAGTGATGAAGCCGATCGTCATATAGAGGCGATGGTCACCATCCAGGAAGGGATGGCGAGCCCAATCGCTATAACAAGTATGGACGACGATGATGAGTCGGTCCAATAAATGACGACGAGGCGATGCTGAAGTCGATCGTCATATAATGGCGACGGTCGCTCATCCGGGAAGGGAATAGCGAGCCTGATCGCTAGCTCAAGACGCTCGATGTTGGGGAAGCCGGCCTTGAGA